AAGAACAAAAGAACAAAAGAAAGAAAAAGAAGTCAAAAACAGATAAACAACTTAAGGAAGACTGCGTAGTGCATGACTCGAGCTAATCCGAGAGAATTTTATCAAATTAACCTGAAAGTTGAAAGAAATTTGCATAAACTGCGAAAAAAGTTTGAAATTTGGTGTTTTACTAAGGAACACTTCCTACACACGAAGTCATGTCACCTTCATTATTTCCAGTCACAAATATATCTTCAAATCCTTTACTTAATCCTAACCCAAACAAGATGGCACAAAGAGCCATTATACAATTATTCACCTCCCTCAACACACCACAATAACATAGAAGATCCTAATGAGGAGTGAGAGTAGAGACCTGACTTATTAAATGTCTTACCTAATTTAACGGGTTACCAAGGTAGAATCCACACAAACACTTAAGATAGTTTCACATGTTGTGTGGAAATTTTATATCTCCTAGGATCACAATAGATAGCCTTAAAAGGAGAGTTTTTCCTTTTACTAAATTGTGATCCTGGGAGATCTAAAATTTTCACACAACATATGGAACTATCTTAAGTGTTTATGTGGATTCTCTCTTGGAAATCCATTAAATTTAGGTAAGGCATTTAATAAGTCAAGTCTCATTCCTCATTGGGATATTTTATGTTATTATGGATAACAGTGTTGTGAAAGGTAGTTAATTGTCTGATGGTTCTATGTGCCATCTTGTTTGGGTTAGGATCGGGTAAATGACTGGAGGATATATTTGTAGCTGAAGATAATGAAGGATGTATGGCTTCAGATGTAGTAGGTGTTCCCTCAATAGAACACCCAAATTTCAAACTTCTCCGCAGCTTATGCAAATTCCTTTCAACTTATGGGTTAATTTGATAAAATTCTCCCGGATTAGCTCAGGTCATGCAGTACGCAGCCTGCCTCATGTTGTTTCTTTGTCCTTGACTTCTTTTTCTTTCTTTTGTTTTTGCTTTAGAGAAAGTTTTTAAATAAGAGACAAGTAAGACTTTGTTTGGGTTCATTCTCATAAGAGAGAGGTGTGTCACAATGGACAACTTAAATATCAAGTATTTCCTAGCTATAGTATATTAAAACTAGTCTGAAATACTTCGTAAGATAAATTCTTGATTAAAACAAAAACAAATATTTTGTTAACAATAAGGATAACTAAAAACTACAAAATAACTCAAACTAAATTAAACGTATATGCGTTAGAAAAAAAATAAATGAAAAAAAATCAAAATACTAACCGTATTCCCCGACAACAGAGCCAAATTTGATACGTCGTCGTTGAAGCTATCAAATTAATATTACTTTACAAAACAACTTCAATATTACCAAGTTAGTTGTCAAAAAAGTATATAAGTTTAAAGTAATTATGAGTCGTTTCCCAATGAATACATAATTTTTTTCAATATTTGTCTCTTTTGTAGACTCTAAAAAAGGTAAGTGAATGTATGCAATGCTTAATAATAAGAATGAAAATCTATCATAATGAATTTGGAGTCGAAGAATGACGTGAGTTTAATTGAAGAACAAACGAAAATATTTGAAACAATTATAATGAAATAAGCTAATTTCACTGTTTTTCAAAAATAAATTAATCATCGATTATCCAAAGATTATTGTTCAATTGATTATTGTTCGAGTTTCAAATTAATTAAAGTACATTCTTGATTAACTTGAGGGCGATCGTTCAATTAACCAAAGTAGATTCTCAATCAAATGCAAGAACTTCCTAAATTATTCACAATGGATTCAAGCAAAGTACATTTTCAATCAAATCGTATTGTGTTTAATCATGTTTATTCTTAAACACGCTAACCAAATTAAAAGATAATTAATCAAAGTAAATTATCAATTAATTACATAATTCTTACCACCAATCAAGCTACGTTCTCAATCAGTGGCAATGACACATTTAATCATATTAAAGTTTATAAATTCAATCAAAGTAAATTCTCAATCAATTTTAGAAACCCTTAAACTCATATGATTAATATGCATGTAGATTAATGAAAAAAAATCATTGTTTTTAATATAATTGAGAGATGCAAGATATAAAAACAGAATAACTCAAATCAATAATCAAAAGAATCAAATTCATTAATTCAATTTAACCTCAAAATCCATAATGAAATTAGAATTGTCCTATGAGCTTAACCCTTCAGGAATAGAGTGAAATAGGTCTATTTATATAGGCTTGATTGAGTTTGGACTCTGAATATTATATCGATATAATCTTTTATTTTATATTTAATATCTTTTAAATATTCAACCAAATTAATCAATTTTTAAGAATACTTGATTGATATTTTCAAATTAAATTAATTATTTTTAAATATCAATTGTTTTGCCTAGTTTAAATGCATAAAATTTTAACTTTAGTTGTACAAATAAACATTAAAATATTCAACATAATTTATACAACTAAAAATGACATTTTAATTATCTTTAATTCTCAAACTCAATAAATTTAATTAGCATAAATTCAGTTTAAATAAACTATTTAAGTATAATAATTTCATCAAAAATTTAAATTTTAAAGCATATTTATGAACATAAATATATATATATATATATGGGGTTTGCTAACGCTACGCCTGTTTTTCAGTTGGTACATTTTAGCAATGTGTATCGGGTTTTAGTAGACAAAAATACCCTTATATATCATGGATTCTAAATTTTAAGGTTAACGGTATTTTAATAATTTTCATTCTCAAAACAAAAAAAAAAGAGAACCCCGCCAACCCTTACTCACGTCTCTCATTCCTCTCAGCCCTTTCACTTTCATCTCTCTCACTCCAACCTTTTCTCTGTCATCCCTACTATAGCCCCAATTCAAAAAATCAGAAACACTTGCCGTTAAACAATCTTACAAAAAATGATTTTATAATGAGTTTTCATTATAAATGATTTTATAATTCAAAAATGATTTTATAATTTTTGTCTTATATAATTTTATCCGATTTTCACAAGTATAAAAGGAATTGGTAATTGACCTGGAAAAAATCAGAAATACTCGCTGTTAAACAATTTCTTACAAAAAAAATGATTTTATAATGAGTTTTCATTTTATAATTTTTGTCTTATCTAATTTTATCTAATTTTCACAAGCATAATGACATCAAAGGAATTGGTAATTGGCCTGGAAAAAATCAGAAACACTCGTTGTTAAACAATTTCTTACAAAAAATGATTTTATAATGAGTTTTCATTTTATAATTTTTGTCTTATCTAATTTTATCTAATTTTCACAAGCATAATGACATCAAAGGAATTGGTAATTGGCTTGGAAAAAATCAGAAACACTCGTTCTTAAACAATTTCTTACAAAAAATGATTTTATAATGAGTTTTCATTTTATAATTTTTGTCTTATCTAATTTTATCTAATTTTCACAAGCATAATGACATCAAAGGAATTGGTAATTGGCTTGGAAAAAATCAGAAACACTCGTTCTTAAACAATTTCTTACAAAAAATGATTTTATAATGAGTTTTCATTTTATAATTTTTGTCGTACATAATTTTATCTAATTTTCACAAGCATAATGACATCCGAAGGAATTGGTAATTGGTCTAGAGGGTTTTTTTTAGAGATGATGATTCAACATATGTAGATGATGAAATTAGAGAAATTAGTGAAGATGGTGAAATTGAAGAGATCTTGAATGAACCTTTGCCTGAAGGTAAATATGTCAATGACTCAACTCTTTACAAAGGCAAATTGTTTAACGACAAGTATTTCTGGTTTTTTTAATTGGGGTTACAGTAGGGATGAGAGAGAAAATGTTGGAGTGAGAAAGATGAAAGAGAAAGGGTTGAGAGGAATGAGAGAGGTGAGTAAGGGTTTGAGGGTTTCTTTTTTTAGTTTTGAGAATGAAAATTATTAAAACACACATACACGCACACACGCAATGACTTCCATCCCATCTTTCAAATAGGTTAATTATTTTTAGACAATGGTTACTTGGGTAGAATAATATCATAACGACACCAAATCTATTTATTTATAAACAGGTTGAGAGTACTTATTTGATGGATTTTATACATTTGAGTATTTCTGTCTGGCTTAGTATACATATTTATATAAAAAATTATTTATTTTAATCTTTACGTTTATTTTCTATTTTTTAATATTTATTTTAATTAAAATAATTATTTTATTAATTTTATTGTTTATTTAAATTTAACTGATTTTTTTTTATGATTTTCTTAAACTTAATCATTTTATTACAAAATAAATAAAAACTATTTATAACAAAGTTACAAAATTATTTTAATTTTATGATTAAAATAATAATAATAATAATTGTATTAATTTTTATTATCATAAAAAGATGTAAAGATACACGTTTTCACTAATAAAATAATAATTATAAAAGTTATTATAATTATAAAAATAAATTTAAATATTTTTAATCATTTGATTGAATTTTTTAATTTAGAAAAATATTAAAGTTAAAAATTTAGAGCCACATAAAAAATAATAAAATTTTACATAAGTTATGATTAAAAGAGTAAAATTGGTAAAATGAGTTTTAATTTAAAAACTCTTGTTAAGATGACAAAGTAGGAAAGAAAGCATGTATACCAAAAAAGAATAATCCTTTTATCTAGTCATATAAATTATTTCTTCTATTTTATAAGAAATTAAAATAAAGAACTATTTTTTATAACTTTTTTAATTAATTTTAGTGTGCATATTTTATTATTAACTCTATCTTTATTATTATTATGTATTTAAGTTTTAAAACTGTTTTTTTTTTAATTTAATAACTACTAACTCTTATAAAAAATATTCATTGTATAGTTACTTTTTAATTTTTCTAAATATATTTTTTAAATATTTTTTTATAAATTTAATAATATAATAATAGTTATTTTTTTAATTTTTTATATCATATAATGTTGGCAGGAAAAAATTAACTAATTAAATTGATTTTGCAGTCTAATAAAAATCACAGCATCAATAATTGCATAATAAAACACCCTTTCATGAAATCCCACAGTTTCATGTTCCAACCCTTTCTCTTTCACTAACTTCTTCAATTCAATTAATCTTCATTTCTGAACCAGCCAAATCCTGGAAGAAAAGAAATCACTAGGATAAACCCACACACCTTAAATTCCACCGGTTTCTGATGCAGTGAAATCGAAAGTACGCATTGCAATGGGGAGAGAAACAGAAATCCTCTCTCGCCTCGCCGCTAACCACCTCCACCTCGCTCAATTCGAGCCCTTGCGCGGTGTTCTCTTAGCCCTACGGGCGCGAAACCGCGACCTCGCTCGGGATATTCTTCAGACCATCGTTGCCCGATCGGGTCGGGTCCCTAATGTTGCGTGGTCCAGTTCCTGTTCCTCCCCCGCGCTCCTCACCTTCTTATCTACACAGGAATTGCTGCAATTGGACAACGCATCCTCGGCGTGGAACTTTGACTCTGAAACGCTGCGTTTGCGCGCCGAATTTCTGTTGCTAGTTCAAGATTTGATAGACCTGCTGCCGGAGGGTGATGGAGAGTTGGGGAATTGTAGAGGAGTATTGGATAAACTTTTGGAATTGGGCGCAAAGTGGTTGAGAGTGGACGGGGATGGTGAAATTGATGGGAGTGTGAGTGTTACTGTGATCGAAGAAGGAGAGTTGGCGAGTATGAGGAAATTAATTTTGGATCACGAGCGTGTTTTTGACTCTCTATGTGGGAATATACATAGGCAAATTAGGCACTGGGAATGTGAGGATTCGGGGGAGGGAAGTGGAGGGTTGGAAGAGGAGGATGCTAGGGTGCTTCGTGGGATACAGAGAACGGTGCAGGTTGTTCATTTGAATGCTATGAGGGACAGTCTTGAATCGGGTGATGCAGAAGGGGCCGTTTCTCATATACGTTATCTGCATTTTGATTATGGAGTCGAGCAGCAATCGGAGTACCGGTATGTCTCTCTCTCCCTCTCTCTCTCTTCTTTTTTTTTTTTTGCAAACACAAACAAAATGTGTGGTTTGTTTGTCTTTCTTGTGTAGAGAGTTGACCCTGCTTTTTCTGTTTAAACCATGTGCATGCATTTGCCTAGGGAATTTGGACCATTCTTCAATGAAAAAATTAGTTTCCCCCTTGATATTATTGTATTAACAGTAGTGAAAGAAAGTATATAGCACTAGGTGAATCCCTTATAGTATTTTAAATAAGCCTTAAATATGTTTTTAGTTTATAAACTACAACATGAAATTAAAATTCATCTCTGTTTCAAGCTGTGATACAATTTGGTCCTTAAATTTTAAAAATAAATAGATAGAATCCTTCTAATCAAACTGTCTTAATTTTGTTTGACATGTTATGGTGTTTTAGGTTGAAGTTTTAGCTGTTGACACCATTGACACATTTCAGCTCAATTGTCAGCCTGATACACAATTTAACACAAAATATTTTTAATGTTTTTGGGTTAAAAAGACTATATTTCTTATTTTTTAAGTTTAAAACCAAAATGTATCAAAGTTTGAGACATGAAAGAATTTCAATTTCGCGTCTAAGTATAGGGATTAAAAACATATTTGACCTTTAAAATAAAATGTTTCATTAAGTTCAGGAAGCCTGTATAGATTTTGTATTTTTTGTTTCCAGATTAGTAAGCAAATAATACACTGATTTCTTAAATTCATTCTTATTTGTATGTTCAGTTATGGTGGAGGCTCTCTCATATTTATTTTTATTTAGGTAAAAGAAGAATAAATAATAACTTGTTCTTTAAGTAATTAAGGATCTTTCTGTCTTTCTTAATTAATTATATTGTATTTGTTTTTTAAGTTCCCTTACAACATTTTTTTGTCCTAGATGTTCATACCTGCATGTTTTCTAATTCTTTTGTAGCATAGTTTTGAAAGATCTCCTCAAGGTTGTCTTGTCAAAAAGTGATAAGTTTGGAGACTCATGGCTTATCATGCGTAATCAATTGCTACATATCTATAGTGAAGCCATTTCATCAAATTGCAGTGATATTGTACAAATGTTGCAGGTCAGTCTCTTGTCTTTCTCCACAGGGTTTTTTCCTCTTTCTCCATGAAACAAACTTGGAGGAATTGATTCCTGAACACTCTTCCTTCAGTTTGTCACATTATTATGGGGTTTATGGGTCTTACTGTTGATAAAATGAGTTTACAACATAGAGTTCCCCTCCCCTAGCCATTTAATATGAAAGAAACTTTATTTTGTCTAACTAAATTCAATGTCAATGCTTTTCTTTAGAGCATTCACGATGAGCTATTGTCTGAAGAGATTGAAATTGATAGAGTTCAAACTGAGAACTTCATTCCACATCCTCTTGTACGTCTCCAAAAATATCTAGAAGAAGTAAAGTCTGGTAAGAATTCAGATGATAAAACATTACCCCCAAATGACGTAATTAGGCACTGCAAGACATCTATGTATCATTATGCTCGTGTTTCTGGACTACACGTTCTTGAGTGTATTATGGATACTTCCCTGTCTTCTGTGAAGAGGGAGCAGCTGGATGAAGCTAGCAATGTATGTACCCATCTTTTTGTTAACTCTATGATACGTTCCTTTGTGTAAAAGTTGATATTGTGTTAATTGTTATATGAAATTCTGACATAAGTCTACTTGTGTAGCTCTAATACTTAGGTACTAATTTTTGTGACAGGTCCTCCAGTTGTTTCCACTGCTTCAGCCTTTGGTAGCGGCCATGGGTTGGGATTTATTGGCTGGTAAAATAGCAGCACGAAGGAAGTTAATGCAACTTCTCTGGACAAGTAAGTCAAAAGTAATTCGGCTTGAAGAATCTTCTCTTTATGGTAATAAATCAGATGAGGTATTTTTCAACTTTTATGTTTTGGAATGTGGTTTATTGGTACTAAATGAACGAGTTGGTGAAACTTTAGTGAAAAAACTGATTTAATTTTGTTGCAGATGTCCTGTGTGGAGCATCTATGTGACACCTTATGCTATCAGCTTGATCTTGCCTCTTTTGTTGCTTGTGTGAATTCTGGCCAGTCTTGGAATTCAGAATTCTCATTAATGCTTTCTGGAAAAGAGCAAGTGGAATTTAGAGATGAAGATGCTTATTCTGATCCTTTTGTTGAGAACTTTGTGTTGGAACGACTTTCGGTCCAAAGTCCTCTTCGGGTAATACTCTATGTGGAAGACATGGCTTTTTAATTGGTATAGATAACATTCTTGCCTATCTTGTATTGTTGAAGAATGAAGAGAATTGATTAGGAAAGATTGTGATGATGTGTAAAATCATAAAAGACAATTATTCAGCCTTAAATAGCATTTAATTACTATAAAAATGCAGCCTTTATGTTAAAGGAAATATATCAAATGTTGATTGCAGTAACACTTTTAAAGAAATATTTCAGGATTTATTGTACTAAGAAATCTGAGTGTTGAATATGATTGCATCATTTTCTCTGTAGGTACTATTTGATGTTGTTCCAGGCATAAAATTCCAGGAAGCCATTGAATTGATTAGTATGCAGCCAATTTCTTCTAATATAGAAGCCAACAAGAGGTGTGCTTCTGATGTTTTCTCTTGTAGTGACCACTTTTAGATTCATCTTGATATTAAGACAGATATTTCCCAAATGTTTGGTTGCGTTGAGTTTCTTTGTTAATAGATAAGACATCATATTGGAGGATATTTTCTTAGAAAGAAATACAAATAAGGGAATACTTTTAAAAAAGAATGATGATGAGACGTGAAAATTCATTTTATTGTCTTTTGTGCATGTGTCCACATGCACTTAATAAACATACATCTTGATTGGAAAATAAAGAAAGACATCTATTTTTCATCCTAGAAGTTATATTCATTTATTTTTTTCTTAAAGAAAAAGGAATATTATGACGAGCTTAAGTGAAAAGTGAAATGAAGTAGGATAAAATATCTTATAAAGTTCAGTGGATAGAACTGGTATCTTTATAGTGATAAAGATAAAATTTTATTTGTCGTACTACAGGAAGTCTGTGAAGAATTGTGAATTTACGATAAATAACTTACTACTGGACTTAGAGGTTTTGCACCTACCGATGTTCAAAGGCCACAATTCTCTCAAATTTAGACAATAGATCTATCAACACCTCCCTTCCTAGTTATAGGGAACATGCCTTATTTCTTCACAACTCTTAGATTTTTGGGTTAGGGCCTAAGCCAACTCTACAAAACCAACTTATAAGATAAAAATTTCCCAAGTTTTATAAGGACCTTGTCATATTTCTAGTTTATGTGAGATCTTAAGACATTCTTTTGCATTCAAGTCTGAACATTTGGAACACGAACAAATATGGGTGACAATTACGGTGCCACTTCATACCTAGGATTAGACATATAGAGCATAGACAAACCCGACCCACTAAGTGATGTGATGTTGGATTTTTAATTCCATCTTAAAATATGAACTTTGGACCTTACTCAATGTCACAATTATAGTCAAGGCAAGGGAAAACTGAAAAGACAAAATGGAGGAAAAAGAAAGAACAGGTGGTTCCAGATTTGAAGGCAAGAGAAGTCAGGAAAAGTGGAAACGAACTCTTAATTTTGTGGTTGTGAGTGAGGCTTGAAATAAGTATTTAGGAAAGGATGAGGCAAGAGAATGGGGCGGGAACTGAGAATTCTGTTATCTTCTCGCTCCTGGAATATTGTTGTAATCAAGGATTCTGCTTTTCCTTATAGAAGAGTCTTAGTCTTTTCATACTGATTTAATAATACTACCATCACATCATTCCATTTTCCAATTGTCTTTCCTCATTAATTAATCGGAGTCTATTAATGCATGGTAGCAATTCTGCCAAAGTGCGGCTTCAGAGATATCTACACTTTAAAAGAGAAATTATTGGAGATTTCATATCTAATAGAAATATGATTAAAATATAGTAAGTAGTTGTAAACATGACTTTATAATTTAGTTTTGTAAGTTTAAATCAGACTTAAAAGTTTATTTTCTAAGATGCTTATCCTCACGAGGTTTGTTGGGTTTATAGTATCACATGTTATTTGACCATTACAAATGTGTAGTTCCATATTCAAAATGAAGTACTTAGCATGAGAGGGTTTGTTGGAGATTCTATATTGATTAGGAATATGGTTAAATTATCATATAAGGACGGGTGGCTGCAGTTCCGGCAGACAGGAAAAGTGAAAGGCCATGGGTAACTAACTCAATTACGTGTTTATAAGTCATACTTTAATTGAGTGTATAGAAAGAGATGAGCCAAGAGAATGAGGTCAGGAACTGGGAATTCTACAGTAGTGTGTTAATATGTTATATTCAATCTTACAAAACTATCTTATTATTATGTGGACATTATAAGGACTACATTGGCAGTATAAAAGAACAATTGAAAAGTAAATGATTCGTGAATGCCATAAGATTTCTAGTATAACTAACCAATAGGTATGTACCAAAAGCATTATAAAAAGCAAACAGAAAATGAATGCTTCATGAATGCCACAAGACTGCCAACAACTTCTTACATGTGTTTATTATAGAACAAAATTATAGTTTCCTACATCGACTATTTTATTTCTGCAATCTATTAGTGTCCTTTCATCAGTTTAATTATGTTGTTATTCTTGTCTGCAGCTAAAATGTGATAATTGATTATTTTTTATTTGTTTAAGATGGGATTAATGATAATTTTGACAACTGTAAGAGTATGAGCATTTTTATTAACTGACTTGCATTGGGTTCTGTTCATACATTAAACTTAAGAGTAATGCTAGGCCTAGACCTTTTCTTTTCTATGCCACTTGGCTTGGCTTTAGATTTGACTCAGTTGTATTATCTCTTTTTTCATTCTCATGTAACCTGATGGCCCTGGACTGGGTGAAATCTGTACTTGGGTGGCTTGACTTTCTTGACATTATGCTTTCTAATAAGTAATCTCTTATGATTACGATTTATTTTATTCTTTGTGCTTTATTTGCTCTTCTGAATTTNTAAAAAGCAAACAGAAAATGAATGCTTCATGAATGCCACAAGACTGCCAACAACTTCTTACATGTGTTTATTATAGAATAAAATTTTAATTTCCTACATCGACTATTTTATTTCTGCAATCTATTAGTGTCCTTTCATCAGTTTAATTATGTTGTTATTCTTGTCTGCAGCTAAAATGTGATAATTGATTATTTTTTATTTGTTTAAGATGGGATTAATGATAATTTTGACAACTGTAAGAGTATGAGCATTTTTATTAACTGACTTGCATTGGGTTCTGTTCATACATTAAACTTAAGAGTAATGCTAGGCCTAGACCTTTTCTTTTCTATGCCACTTGGCTTGGCTTTAGATTTGACTCAGTTGTATTATCTCTTTTTTCATTCTCATGTAACCTGATGGCCCTGGACTGGGTGAAATCTGTACTTGGGTGGCTTGACTTTCTTGACATTATGCTTTCTAATAAGTAATCTCTTATGATTACGATTTATTTTATTCTTTGTGCTTTATTTGCTCTTCTGAATTTCCTTTTTTTGGCATAGGAAGCAAGATATAGAACTCATGCATATGCGTTATGCTTTAGAATCAACTGTTCTTGCTTTAGGAGCAATGGAAAGGAGTATGTCTGGCGAAATAGAAATCCACCAAGATGTGCCATTATTTCATTTAAAGGACTTGCAGAACCATTTGGATGCAATAAGTAATCTTCCACGCAAGGTAAGTCACTTTTCACTTTTTTTTTTTGACTAAATGCTCCCTTCTTCAAATGATAACTGTTGTAATGTGTAAGCAACTTTCTTGATGTAGTTTTATATGTATGATTTTCCCATAATCTTATTCTCCTCAGTCCCACATGTATTTTTATTTTTATTTTTCTTTTGCAATCATTTTTGTCCGTTCCGACTTAGATGAAGTATCTCTCAGTGGCAAGTGTTCAGTGGTGTATTACGACATTTTGTTAATTACTTTTCTTTCTCTCTCTAATGCTTCTTCCTTAGATGAATTTTTTTCACTAAAAAAGACACGAGGGGAAGTTTCTGTAGGATGTAACTTACCATGTATCTGAGACCAGTTGTAAAAATTATCAAGTAGTATTTATGTGTTATGATACATCTAAGAAAAAAGGGCCTATTTGACATTCTTTTGCATTTTCCATGATCTTTGACATTTATTACATTTAATATTTAAAGTGTTAATATCAATTGTTCAGAGCTGTGGTGACTTCCTTTTCTGGTTATTATTATAGTGTACGAATCTAATGCCAATCTTTTGATGATGTAGATTTTGATGGTGAATGTCATCATTTCACTACTGCATATGGATAATACCTCTGTTAACTTGATGCATTGTGGATTACCGGGAAGCAGTTTGAAACTATCAAATGCTTGGTCTTCAGAAGATAGTTATTCGACTAGAAGTGAAGGGGGCAATAAGATGGTTATATCCTTTACTAGTGTGCTACTTGATATATTGCGCCATAATATTCCATCCTCTATGATTGAATTAGAGAACTCACTAGATGATGGTATAAGCACAACCAGCAGACAGGCTCTCGAGTGGAGAATCTTAATCTCAAAGAGTTTCATTGAAGAGTGGGAATGGCGTTTGTCAATTTTGCAGCATCTCCTACCATTATCTGAACGACAATGGAGATGGAAAGAGGCACTAACAGTGTTACGTGCAGCTCCCTCCAAGCTACTCAACCTGTGAGTTCTACCTATTTCTAATGCATGAAATTCAACAACAATGCAAATTCATGTTTGATTTTATGTATCGAGTTACTTGTGGAAGGTATAGTCACAATAACCCTGATTACCTTTTTCTTTTTCTTGTTAATAAAAATATTCAATACTCTCTCTGGTCCATTTTGTAAGAACCAATGTGCATTAATTTTATTTTTTCCAAAATATCCTTATGAATCATTTGAGTTCAAATAATTTCTTTGAAAACCTTTGTCCCTTGACATTCACATCCAATAAAAATTAAAGCAATAAATATATTTAAGAGGAGAGAGACTAAAAAATCAGAGTCAATACTTCTTTTTTTAAAAAGCAATAATAGTATATCTCATTGATATTAAAGACAGTTATGGAACCAAATATGTAAATTTAGGAAGTTTTAATTCCAGTGACTAAATTAACTAATTTCCTTAATCTTTGTGAATAAGTTAACTGGGTCTTATAAGAAAGGACCAGAGGAGCGAGAGTTCACTATATGATGGGAGCTTTTTAGCATGCATGTGCACTTTGCCCTGGAAGTGATTTACTTGTCGATGTAATTTATATTTTGTAGTTCTGTTCTTTTCTTTGTCTTTAGTGACTCTGCAGTAGATTTTTGTAGGAGTATTAGGTTTTTATGGAGTAATATGTCAGAAGATCTGTTTCTAATTATAGAAATGTATATGTTCTGAATGTATTGTGTGTCTAATACAGACCACACAGTATGTAATTATACTATTTTACAGAATCAATTATAATAAAAACACCTAATAATTAGGAATCAATCATGCTAATTTCCTAGATTATGTAATGGTTAATTTCCTACAATTCCGTAACAATTGATTACATTCTAACACTCTTCCTCAAAGTGGAGCATATATGTCATATGCATCAAGCTTGTTACAAGTGAACTCAATCTAAGGGCCTCTAAGGGACTTGGTAAATATGTCAGCCAACTGATTGCTATAGTTGACAAAATCAGTAGTGATTTCTCTAGAGAGCAGCTTTTCTCTAACAAAGTGACAATAAATTTCAATGTGTTTGGATCTTTCATTGAAGACTGGGTTTGATGCAATGTGAAGTGCAACTATATTGTCACAAATAAGCTTTGTTTCATGGATGTCCCCTATTTTTAGTTGTAGTAGTAGTTGCCTAAGTCACCTAAGCTCACAAGTGGTTGTTGCCATAACATGATATTTTATTTTTGCTCTAGATCTGACTACTATATTTTACTTCTCCATGACATAAGGTTTCCTCTGATAAGAACATAGTACCTAGAAGTGGATCTTCTATGTGATGGTGATCTTGTCCAATTTGTATCAGAGTAACAAGTGATCTTAGTACTACCTTTGTCTTCATAGAATAATCCTCATCCTGGAGCATTTTTTTATTTATTGAAGAATACATGTCACAACATCCCAATGGCTATCACAAGGAGCATTTAGAAATTGGCTTACCACACTAACCGTGAAAGTGATGTCGAGTCTAGTGATGGTGAGGTATTGAGTCTACCTACCAAGCGACGATATCTTTTCGGGTCTTTCAATGGCTCTCCCGAACTCAGAAGAAGCTTGATATTGGGATCCATATGAGTATCACAAAAGCGACAATCAAACATAACAGTTTAGTAAGAATGTCCAAGGCATACTCATGTTGATTAATGACAATTCTTCAAGCAGATTGAGCAACTTCAATGCCTAAGAAATATTTTAGAGGGCCCAAATATTTAGTATGAAATTGTAGTGAAAAGTTCTCTTTGAGTTGTCGATTTCCAGTCTCATCATCACCCGTGATGAAAATGTCATCAACATAAACAACAAGGTAAATGCATTTGTGAGAAGAGGAATGAAAGGAGAAGAACTTATCAACCTCACACTTGGTCATGCTAAACTGAATCAAGACAAAACTAAAACGACCAAACCAAGCCTGAGGAGATTACTTCAAACCATACAAAGACCATTGAAGCATACAAACAAAACGAGAATCGACGGGAACAAAAAAACTAGGGGTTGATCCATTAAAACTTCTTCCACCAATTCCCAGGTAAGAATGCATTTTTAATATCTAGCTAATGAAGAGGCCAATGATGAATAGTAGCCATAGCCAGTAAAAGAAGAACAAAAGTTATTTTGGCCACAAGGGAAAAGATGTCCCCATAATCTAGACAAAAAATCTGTGTATATCCTTTGGCGACCAACTGAGCTTTTAACCAATCAATATGACCATTAGGTCCAATTTTCACCGTATAAACTCAATGACAACCAATAGTTTGTTTGCCAGGAGGGAAAGGAATAAGTTCCCAAGTGCCATTGGAATGTAAGGTTTCCATCTCCTCTACCATTGCCTGATGCTAGTTGGGATCAGCCATGGCATCACTTGTAGTCTTAGGAATAGACACAAAATGCAAAGAAGAAACAAAGGAGAAATATGATAGAGACAAATGATCTTAAGTAATGGTAAAAGAAAAGAGAGGGTTAAGATTATGAGAAGAGCGAATACCTTTTCGTATCACAATAGGAAGTTCAGGTGTAGGAGGCGTGGGCGAAGGGATAGTTGGAGGAAGAGATGATGCTTGAAGGATTATAAGAGTGAGTCATAATTGGAGTTTGAACTCGTCTATGGTATTTAAGTAAAGGATGTTGAGGAGAAGCAATTACCTGAGCCGGAATAGGCGAGAGTTCTTGATAGGTTTGAGTAGGAAACCTATCTAAACTCAACACTAACACACCAAACAAGAAGAAAGATAGCAAAACAGAGTAATTATGTATTAATCTCTTCGATCTGTGCAACCCAAAACCTCCAAGGGAGCCAAGTTCCCCCTCCACAAGATAAATGTGTCCTGTTTATACAAAGAATCAATTTCTAAAAACTGACCAATACAGAAATACACCAGCTCTTTTCTCCCCCACCAATTGTTATAGTTATGCCTCATTAACTTTCCTAACCTCCTCATTCCCTCTTCTCTTTCTCTCATAGACTCTCCATATCCCATCACTTCTAAAGATTCTACTATAAGATTGACATCCAATATAGTTGAAGTGTAGAAGGGGTTAGTCTCAAAAAAGGTGACATCAACAAAAACTATTTAGTGTTGAAGTTGAGGACAAAAACAAAGCAGGCTCACACGAGATTACACAGGTCCCAAGGATTTTAGAGTGCTGATACCATGTCAGAAAAACTATTTCTGATGTTATTCTTAGAGGAGCAATTGCTCCTAAGTAGACTACACAGACTTAATAACTGAAAATCCTAATTTGTGATGGATATAATCTACCCCTAAAATTCAGGATCAATAATAAATATAAAATATACTGACAGCCTATTAATCCTCCTAATTATGAAATGTAATTAAAGCTGTACAAAGAAATATTAACTATAGCTTAAATCAAGGGATTCCGACAGTTTGCTTTTACCGGTTTTCTTTCTTTTGTTTATTTATCTGTTTGGAAAATCTGTTGTCCTTCTGTGTACTTATTGTCTTAATTGATCTTTTCTGTCTCTAAGAATTTGAGATCGATTTTTATTTTGCAGTTGCATGCAAAAGGCAAAGTTTGATATTGGAGAAGAAGCAGTTCATCGGTTTTCGTTATCTGCTGAAGATAAAGCTACTCTCGAGTTAGCTGAATGGGTAGATAGTGCCTTTAGACAAAATTCTGTATGTTCTTTATTGCCTTTAGATTCCTATCACTGTTGAACTTATGGGTTTGGTCAACTTGTTTTGCCTTACCAATGTGTTATTGGAACATTTGAGCACGATTTAGTTATTGATTTTGAAAATATTTATCTTGTATTTTCCTTTACCAGAGGCCATTTACATTTCTGACAGTGATTTTCTTACAAGTTGCAATTCATTTTTTGGTGTCAAGAGCTGAAACTCCATGAGAAAAATGAGAATACAACAGGGTAGGTGTGGAAATGATTTTTAGTTGGTAGAAAAATAATGAAAGTGTTAAGAAGTGAACTTTAAGCTTAATTCAAACCCATAAAACTGATTTGTAATGTGAAGTTTGTACCTACTTATGAACTATACATTAGCCTTATCTTTTGTCGATATAACACACGCCCTCATACCTAGACATATATATCTTGAGCGTGGAACTAAATATTAATGAGTGGTCCGATAACATTAAAATAAACTCAACAAACAACAAACTTTACTAGAATAGACTCTAACTCATGGCTTTGATATCATGTTAAGAAGTGAATTTTAAGCTTAACTCAGTCTCACAAAACCGAATTGTAAAGTGAGATTTACATACATTTATATACTGTAAACTGACCTAGTTATAGTAGATGTAGGACTTATAATAGAAAGGAAACTTCTTAAAATAAATACCATGGTAGGGGATCGATGAGGTATCCTTATTACTTGTAAGTTCAACAAGACAACCTTACAAATGTGAGCTTCTTCCAACCTCGTAATGCATATATAACCATATAAATTGCACACTAGTATAGAGTTTTTACCTTCTCATTCTTGTCGAAACCTGTGAAATGCCTTATGAGAAACTCTTCCATGGCCAAAGGACTTGGGTATTTGCCAAGTGCTTCAATCAGATTAGTCGATTAGAAAGTAGCATTCTGACAATGGAAATATGCATGGGAAGTTGTTCCCGAACTTATGACCTTTGAAGTGCTACTTTCCAGCAAAAGTAAAGTTTGGTATTCAGGAGAGAATTGACACTGTTTTAAATACTTGATATCTAGTTTGGTCTCAGGAAGGCATATGATTGTGGGAAAGGTTTTGGAAGTGGTATACCACATATCACACAAAGCTGAACCTTTGCACTGGAAACATCCATGGGCAGACATTAAACAGAAACTAAAAAAACTGAATCATATTTCAAAAGCATATTTAGGGGACACCCCATGCATGTTGTGCTCCAGTCAAATGCACCACAAAGTAGAGGCACTGTTCATTGGCAGAATTCTGGCCCCTTCTCTAATTCTGCCAAGGCATTTATAATTAACCAACCAAAAATGCTTATGTGCAGTGATCATGCAATGGCTGCAACGTATAAGTATGGTGTTGTGTAGGAAGAGAAGTGTGAGGCATGATTTTTTCTTTGGGTACACTGGTCATAAGTTGAAAGGTTGATAGACAGCATAGCCCCTCTCAAATCATGACTTGTATGATTTGTCTCTTACCCCACCCTTTTTCGTAATGTATGCAGCAATTCAAATTATCAAATTTACTTTTTATTCAGTATTACTTACTCATTTGACTAGTAAGGGTTGCAATCTTTTGAATGGCTTTCTTTTTAGTACATTCTTAATGGTTTCTAATTGCTACTACACATACTTTTGTTGCATGTTTGCAGGTTGATGACGTGGTGTCCCGTGTACAGGATTTAGATTTTTCCTCTTTAAGTTCCCAGTTGGGTCCCTTGGCTACAGTAAGTGCCTAAAATGATGAGAGAGCAATTTATAATTTATTATTTCAAATGAAAAAAAAATGCTTGGTGTATCATCAGTTCTGAGAATGTACACTTCTTGCCAGATTCTTCTTTGTATTGATGTTGCTGCAACTTCTGCGAAGTCGGCAAAGATGTCTCAGCAATTGCTTAAACAGGTGCTTCTATCTTTTTCCCATGGAAATCACTCAGGTTAATCTTTTCCCCTTGACATACGAAACTAATTACCAAGAGGGAAGGGAGAATGGGAAGATGAAATCAAGCAGCAGCAGAAGAGATTTTCACAACACACCTAATTAAGGACTGGACAAACAATGTTGAAGTTAACAAATTGTTGGTTTAGGGAAGTTTGTTTTTTAGTTGTAGATTGTGTTTTCTCTTCTGGGTGTCGAAGCCTGTAAGAGCTCTATTTTAGCTATATTTATAGTTGATGTGAGATTTCAACAAGCCTCTCATACCTAAGATTGAATATCTTGATTGTGCAGATTTAGGTCTGCTTTTTGTTTTTTATATTTCATTGGGAAAGCCTGTGATACCAGGAATTGAGGATCTCTAAGACTGTAGGACTTTTTTTTTTTGACTTAATAGCCTCTTTTGTCCCCAGTTGTGATAGGTTTTGTCAATTTGGTCCTTGGTTTTAAAAAAGTGTCTACTTGGTCCTGACTTAGTAAATTTTGTGTTAATGTTATCCCTTCTGTTAAAAAACACTAACGGTGTTAATGAATTGATGATATGGCAGTATAAATTGGTAACGTGTCAATGAGAGGTTGAGGTGGATTTTAAAGATTGGATTTTACAATATAAATTTGGCTGCCACGTCATCACCATCTTCAGAAATCCTAACTTCCATCAAGCACCAAACCTTAGCTGCCGAACCATCCACAATAGCCGCCGTCAACAGCTACGACGCTGCTAACATCATGCGCTGCCGCCACCATGAAACATCTTCATTAGACCACCACCAGTGCTACAAAGCCGCCGCAAGGCACCATCCATCACGAGCTCACGCAAGCTGCCGCGACCACCATCTCACACCTCCATCAAACCCGCGAGCTCCGCCACCAATTTTCACCATCACCAAACCTGCATACCAGAAATCACCACACCAAGCAAAACCCTAAATCGCCATGCCGCCACTGCCGCAGAGCGAACCTCTCTCTGCAGGATCGCGAACCCAAGTGCGACCTCACCATCGCCACTGCCTCGTGCCATCACCATCGCTACCGCACTGCAAAGCCCACTTCAGGCCGTCGCCGCCGTAAGAATCGTGCCACTCAACGCGAGAACCTGCAACCACCACACCTCCATCACCTTCTCCAAGCCCAAACATGCAAACCACAAAATCAGAAAAAAAGCCTCATCCTACAAGATCTGAGTTCACATCTTCGCACCTCCATCCACTTGAATTCACCACCTGCAAAAAGGAAAAGACCTCCAATTTGCCAAACACCATCACGTTACCAGTAGCCACCGCAGATGGGAAGGCCGAAACCCAATTCTCGCGAGTTAACAGTGCAGAAGCACTCTTCCCCAATCTGAAACCCTAATTTTTGGGTGGGGAAGGGCTGCCACATGGTAAGCCTTCATTTCTGTTCTGCACGAATTGGGAGTTCGAAAATTGGGAATTTTTCTGGGTTTTTCTGGGTCTTAATCGTGAGGAAGAAGATGTTGTTGTTGTTGGTGATTTGGGTTGCGCGAGATTGATGATGGAGGGTAGGTTCGAACCTGGTTGTGCGATTTCCGGCATAGTGGTGACGACGCGGCATGATGGTGACAACGCGACATGGTTCATGGTGGTGGATGGGTTTCACGGTGTGGGTGGTTGCGGCATTGATGGTGAAAGACGATGTGGTGTTTGCAGGTTCTGTGCGGCATTGACGGTGTGGGTGGTGGCGGCACATTTGGATAGGGTTTGGACTTCATTGTTGCGGTGCGACAAGGTGGTGGTGGCGGATAGGGTTTGGCTGACGGTGGAGGAATTAGGGTTTCTGCTGTTTGGGGAAGGCAAAACTGACGTGGCAGGAGGGAATAGGTGGCCCAAAGATTAAAAAAAAATTTGAAAAGAAACTGCCATATCATCAAACTATTAACTCTGTTTGTTTCTTTTTAACGGAAGGGACAAAGTTGACACAAAATTTTCCAAGTCAGGACCAAGTAGACACTTTTTTGAAACCAAGGACCAAATTGACAAAATCGAGTACAACTGGGGACAAAAGAAGCTATTAAGTCTTTTTTTTGTAAATGTTGCATTGGGAAAACCAGAGGGCCAGGTACCTTTTTTGGACTGTTGAGGGTGGTCAATATCGAATCTTTTGTTTTGGTTAGACATAACCTCAAAAGCTAACTTATTAGATGTAGATTGTCCAAGCCTTTGTAAGCTCTTCTTTTGTCAAATTTATTGTTGATGTGATCTCAATGTACAAAAACAAATAGGGTGAAGCCAATTCTTTTCATCAGTTTTATTCCTTCTTCTGTTGAAGAACTAAGAAGTTCTAAACAAGGGAGAGATTGTTAGAGTAAAGAAGTAGTATTTTTTTTTTTATATTGGTGAGGAACTAACCATTCTAGACATATTTATTATTCTATTCGGTGATTTTCTCAAAGACTGTCACCCAGTTGGCATATTTTATTTTCATGATATGCTTTGGATAGTGTTGAAATCTAGTCCTCCTTTTGTCCTTTACTCTTACAAGCTTTTGTCCGGTTGATCAGATGTTTGCTTTATTATACAATGTGCAGGCCGAAAATATGTTGTCTGATATATATCCTGGAGGATCTCCCAAAGATGGCTCCACTTATTGGGACCAGATCCTTGAGATAGGAGTTATCTCTGTGGCAGGGCGTCTTCTGAAACGCTTGCACAAGTTCTTGGAGCAGGTGAGGACTTGAATATATTATTTAGTGGTGTAGTAGGAACCAATTTCAAGAAAACCAGAATGTCCCTTGCAACTTGCAAGCTATTATTTCTTCTTTTGATTTTAGGGGCCTAAGTCAACTATATTGCCCATGTAAGCTTTTGTTATTTTCATTGAATTGTATATACAGATACAAAACACACTTTCTTTTTCCTTGGCTAGCTGTTTTAGTTTTGAAGGTATGCGATTGTTTGACATGGTACCGTAGGTTTTCCAAGTAATTAATTTAGAGTTGAATACCCTCCTTCTCACTTAGCAATGCATTTGTTTGCTCTGCTAAAGTAGAGCATAATTGGTTTTTGCATAATAGGAAATGGTCAGAGTTTAAACCTTTTTGGGGTATGTTGGGTTAGCTTGGTTCATTAATTATTCAATATTTTTTTTTTTGAAAAAAAGATTTCCCTTCTTCAGCAAAGCCTTTTATCGTAAGCTTCAATGAGCATAAGTACTTGACATTTGGTCCTTTCCCACGTTTACTTTGGTAAGTCAGGATTTGCCGAATGAATTTGTTGCTTTTCTTACACATCAGAATTTGGTGCTGAATGTACTGCTTCAAAGTGACTGCACTGTATCCTGTCTTAGCCAGTCAGTTTTTGTTACTGATAATTGTCAAAGTCAGTTATTTATGGTTTGGTTTGGTATAGACTTGTTAGGGCTTCTGTTGTATCTGAGGTTGTGCCAAAGTTACACCTATACTTTTTTGCTTCTATCCTATTAAGATCACTTCCAAATGCCATACCGAAGAAGTTAGCACATACAAATGCTGTGATCTCAGTAATGACTTTTATATTGTCTGCTTCTCCAGGACAACCCTCCAGCACTTCAGGCAATCCTATCTGGGGAAATTGTTTTCACATCATCTAAAGAGTCCCACCGGCAAGAGCAGAGGGAACGAGCTCTTGCTTTATTACATCTGATGATTGAAGATGCGCACATGGGCAAGCGGCAGTTTTTGAGTGGTATGTCTTTCTTTTTCCTTTAAGCATGTTAAGAATGTTGTTATTTAGCACAGTTATGTATGTATGTGTGTGTGTTCTCTTTCTTATATGGTTATAGTATATATTTATACTTAAATCAGGTAAGCTTCATAACCTTGCAAGAGCTGTTGCTGATGAAGAAACTGAATCAAGTACTACTAGAGCTGAAGGATTGTATGCTGATCAGGGTGTTACTTCCAACAGTGACAAGGACATTCTACTTGGGCTTGGGTTTAGAGTTGTTAAACAAATACCTTTAAGTTCAAGTGGCGGAGAGTCTAGCCTTCAGTCTGCTGGTTATGACATTAAAGATGCTGGGAAGAGAATATTTGTTCCCTTGAGTGGAAAACCCGTGACATATCTCTCACAATTCATTCTTCATGTTGCTGCAATTGGTGATATAGTTGATGGGACTGATACTACACATGATTTTAACTTTTTCTCCGTCGTGTATGAATGGCCTAAAGATGTAAGGTTCTCAAAATATTTAAATAATTTGACAGTGCTTTATTTTAGAGTTTAGAGATGAGAACTACTGTTGTTATGAAAATCGTAAGCAAGTTTCTGTTGCACATGAGGGCAGATTTCTTTTCATAACCAGAAGTTATTCTTATTTATCTTACCCCTTTGTATTGCAATTGTTGCTACACACGGGGATTTGCAAAATTTTGAAAAAAGTACCTATATTTTTTTTACTAAAGTAAAAACAGGATTTATCATTACTTGTTATTTATTGTCGACAACATGCTTGTTATTTTAGAAAAAAACTGTTCTATTATTGCACGTATTCAACATTGAGTATATATTTGTATTTACATCTACAGCCATTGTGGCACTTTCACATATAATTAAAAATAAAATATGCTTTTACTTATAAAGTCTTGTTTGGGTTTTTTATGTGGATGTTGGGCCATGATGTTAGTAAGGTTGGTGTCTTGTGACTAGGTGGTCATGTATTCTGTAGAAATAGCCTTTCTGCTCCTGGAGACCAGGCTGAAGACATTTGAGTCTAAACCTTGCAATGATGGAACCTCGTGTGCTTAATCTCCTTTTATTTTTGTCATTTTAGAAATTTTCATGTTTTATGTGTTGAGCATACATGGCGTTCTTTTGATTGCCTATGTTTTACTATTATTTCTTGCAGCTTTTGACCCGTCTTGTTTTTGAAAGAGGCAGTACTGATGCTGCTGGGAAGGTAGCGGAAATTATGTATGCAGATTTTGTACATGAGGTGATTTCTGCATGTGTGCCTCCGGTTTATCCTCCACGATCTGGAAATGGGTGGGCATGCATTCCTGTTGTTCCTACATTTCCTAAGAGTAGCTCTGAAAACAAAGTGCTGTCTCCCTCATCTAAAGATGCAAAACCTAATTGCTATTGCCGTTCTTCAGCAACACCTGGAGTGGCTTTGTACCCTCTCCAGTTGGATTTGGTGAAACATTTGGCAAAAATATCCCCGGTGAGGGCTGTTTTAGCATGTGTATTTGGGAGTAGTATACTGTACAACAGCAGTAGCTCATCAATTTCAAGCTCTTTGAGTGATGGATTACTTCAGGCTCCTGATGCTGATCGCTTGTTTTATGAGTTTGCTCTTGATCAATCTGAAAGGTAGTTGTTGTATCGTGTGAATTGGTTGGCATGACAGTTTTATATATACAATATTTTGTCCTAATCTTAAAGTTCTTAGATACTTAATCATTCATATAAAATATTAAAAGTCTTCTATAAAGTATTCTTGTTCACAAATGAACATATAGTCTCTCCCTTTTTCCAGATATAAATAACATTACACATCCACCCTTTTGTAACTTACATTTATACTATGAATGTATGAGTTAGGGTATGTCAATTAAAATTATTTTAGTAGGTCATGCTAGTTCTTACTTTTTCTTAAAGAAAAGCCTTTCATAAATTTTATAAAGATAAGATTGAAAGTATTTTATTTTAAGATGTAAGTTAGAAAGGAATTAGAATTTGTAAGGAGCAATGGGTTTGGTAGAAGAAAATATTTAAGATCCTTTCATCATTTTTCTTCTTTTGTGTTTGGTGCTTTTAGACAGAGCATAATGCTAGATATTTTTTCTGTACATTTCTTTGTTCACATCTTATTTTGGAAATTTTATTGAATAATTAGCTTAACCTTTTTTCCTGGTGTGCAGGTTCCCAACTCTGAACAGGTGGATACAGATGCAAACTAACCTCCATCGTGTGTCAGAATTTGCTGTAACTGCAAATCAAACAGCTGATGACAGCAATCTTGAAGCACGAACTTCTGTTAAGAGAGTTCGTGAACTTGACACTGAGACAGAGTCAGATGCTGATGACATTGTGAGTAGTATCCCTGGAGCTCTGTCTGACCTAAGTAGCCATGGGATTGAAGCCTCAGATTTCTGGCTGGATTCCTCAAAATCTGAAGGCTCTCAACTTGACACGACAGTTTTCCTTTCCTTTGATTGGGATAATGAGCAACCATATGAAAGGGCTGTAGAACGGTATTATAGTTCAAATTGTTGTTCAAACTGTAGTTTTTTTCAAGTTCCATTACACTTAAACTAGAATGTTGCCAATTTAGTATAATCAATGCAAACAAGATATACACATCCACTATTTACTCAATGTTGTTTCATGTTAGTGATTAGTGATGCTAGCATAATTGCAATTTAGCTTCATTCATGATGATCTGAACTTTGCATTGACTTTTAAGTGAAAAGTCACTAAACCTTTTTATGAGATAGAACAGAGGACAAGCATACCTTTTGTACAGTCAGTGTTTGTACCGATATTCTGAATATTCATGTATTTTCTTTATATATAGTTGAGACATTTAATAATTGCAACTTGCCTTTCTTAGCAATTTACATGTTACTGATTGTCCTTTGTGCTTTCTTATTAGACTGATTGATGAAGGAAAGTTAATGGATGCTCTTGCACTGTCTGATCGCTTTCTACGGAATGGGGCCTCTGATCAGCTTCTTCAGTTAGTCATTGAACGAACAGAAGAAGTCCATTCAAATTCTGCACAGCATCAAGGATTTGGGGGGCGAAATATTTGGAGTAATAGTTGGCAATACTGCCTAAGGTTGAAAGACAAACAGCTGGCTGCTAGATTAGCCCTAAGGTTTGTAAATAATTTCCTTTTTCATGGCTTTGTGGGATGCAAGTTTATATCTGTGATGGAGGGTTTCTAGGAAATGCTAGCAGTGAACTTTTTTCTAACAAATTATTCTCCGGTCAATTTCATGTGAATTTCACTAAAAAGAAAGTAGCCTTAAATATACCTGATGAAGGATTTATAGGAAATGCTAGTAACCAACTATTTAAAATACTCTCTTGGACAAACTATTATTGGGTGAATTTTACGTGGATCCCAAAAGAGTAGTAGGCTTAAAGTTTTTGCTGGGACCTATTTGACATTTACTGATAGTGGTACGTTATAAACAGTGTGTGATTTTGCATTGTTAAAGGGTCTTCTGTGATTTGCATTTTTTTGATAGAGACATGAAACCTGTTAGGACTTGAGCACAAGGACCCAAATATTTGTCCATTAGGTAAAAAAGTATTGAGGCTTAAGCACCAAATCTATTAATTTAGTCTACTCTGTGGGGTTCCTAGCATTGTCACTCCTGTTAATAACCAATTACCACATTGACCTCCACTTCATTGACACTGGGTCAACGGTGTACTTTTCCCTTACACAGTTTCACTCACCTATTAATATTTATTTTTCAACTTAATCTGACTTGTAGATAGCCCTTTCTGTTACTTGACTTTCCATGAAATCACCAACTACTAGGATATAAATACATGAGTAGAGTTTATTCTATTCTTCTCAAAACCATTCATAAGCCTCCTTCACCTGACAACTTAAGCTTTTAGGTGGTTTAATTCTTTACATGTTATTATAGTGGCTATGACCAAATGGTCAAGATTTCAGTCCATTTTGCCTCATTTTTCGTAAGTAATTAAATTTCAACACTAGGTAAAGTGGGTTTGTGAATGAGTGGGCCATGTTGGAGATATAAAAGGCATTTAATGGTTTCTATTTATTTGTAGCATGGTTATAATTATGTTACTATTAAATTCCATATCCAGTATTTTTTTCAGCCTGTGATGTCAATTTTAAATTTCAAAATTTTGTCACAGGTATGTGCACTCATGGGAATTAGATGCTGCTTTGGATGTTCTCACAATGTGCAGCTGCCATCTTCCTGAAAACGATTCCATAAGGAAGGAGGTGAAGTTATACTTTTATTTTAATACTCTATTGTTATATCAATATTACTCTTGTTAGATATATTAGATTATTAGATACCTTAGATAGATATCTTATCTTTATCTTTTATCTTCAATTACTTTGTTATTATTCTGTATTTGTATTTTTGGCCTAACCCATTTCCTTTATTATAAATACAGTACTATATTTGTATTTTCTACACAAGAGAGATTAATCCCGTACATAGTTTTTCACTGTATTTAATATATCATTAGAGTCGAGTTTGAACCTATTCTAGCTAGATTTGTTGTTTGTTGGGATTATTGTGCAACCCACTATCAGACCACTATTGGGCTATTATCGGACCACCCATTAATGTCTAGTCCCATGCTTGAGATGTGTATATCTCTGTGTAAGGGAAGTGTATTGGAGATCTCACATCGACTAGATATAAGGTGATTTTATAATATATAATTGGGTGCAAACCTTACCTTACAAGTCGGTTTCTCCATTGTTTTGGTATCACTGACAGGTTTTGGAATGGTCACAAAAGAAATAGACGAAAGACAAGTATAAAAAGGTGAAGATAATCTATTATAACTCAAAGCAATATAATGTGGAAAGGGATTACGACTAGAAAAGATACCTTTCCGAAGGACATTTGGTAGATGAGACTTGTTAGATGTTAAGATGTGTGTTTCTGTTATTTGGGCTTAGTTTATTCTGTATTAAGGGCATTGGTCCATATCTTACAATATAAATAAACTACCCTATGTGTATGTTAAACGCACAAGGGATATTTCCTCCCAATCTTCTCTATTTCTCATATGGTATCTAGAGCACAGGAATAGTTCCAGTCAACTCCACGGTCTCCGGCACCCATCACTGCCGCTGTCGTCGCAGTCGCCGCCGCTGCCATCGCCGCCGCCGTCGTCGGAGTTCCAGAATCGACCGGCGACCACACCATCGGAATCGTCTCGGCCGGGCGACCACCGTGGTACGAAGATCGCGGCGAACGGACCTCCCACGCGCCTCCATGCGCCGCCGCAAGAGTCGCCGCTGCCGCCGCGCGTGCCGGAGCGTAGCCGGAGCTTTCCGCCGCCGATCAGCACCGCCGTGATCG